ATATATATATATATATATATATATATATATATATATATATATATATATATATATATATATATTTATTTATTTATTTATTTATTTATTTATTTATTTAAAACACAAAATGATGAACGAGATTACGTCAATTGAAGAGAAAGAGAAAAAGGAGAGAAATAATAATAGAATTTACAAGGGTTTACTGTTATATTGTCGCAAGAAAAGAAAAAATAAAAATTTACAAAGATACATAATTATTTTGTCGCATATAAGTATATAGATAAGGATGTATATAGATGCGAGGCTGTAAGGAGATTATACGAAAGACTATTGAAGATATTCCTTAGGACTGAATGATGCTTCTTGTAGTTAAAGTAGAAAAGACTTAAGAAAAGAAAAAATACAAATAACAAACAATATGATCATATAATTAGAAGGATTATCCGGTATTATTTTAACTGGTTCTAATTTCGACCATTCTGGTTTGTTTCTTTCTACTAGTATGTCTTCGTGGTGATGGCAGTGCTGGTTTTGGAAGCTGGAGTTGGTGCTTTGGCACGTCTCTACGAGGAACAGGTCGGTCCTGAATTGAAGATGAATCTAAACCGCACTTTCCTCGAGAACTATTCCGTGCGGTCCAGGGAGACCGCGGCAATCGACCAAATGCAGAAAGAAGTAAGTGCTCCGATCGGACAGAATCTCTTATCCACTTCTCAAACGAACGACACGATCATAGTACATACGCGGCCGATTGTAGTACGGAAAAACAGAATTCGCCAGTGGAACGCGCTGAAAGTTCTTGTAAAGAAGACTAAGACAGGTTTACATAATAAATATAGATTAGCCGTCTGTTTTTATTACGAGAGAAATATTGGAAAAGGAATCATAAAATACTCATTTTAAAACACAGATATCTTTTTTTAAGTTCCATTAAAATGAGAAAATATTGCAATTAAAAAAGGGAAAAGTCTAATTATTACAAAATCTGATTTAAAAACAGTCAAGTAAATTTTCGAGTGTCTCGAAATTTCATGTTAATGCTCATGGAATAACAATCAACAGCTCGACGCAAAGTCATTTTTCCAGACTTAACCTTCTGCATAGCTTTCATTATTTCTTGAGATCATAACTTATTTGATAATTTATGTACGTACATGCGAACATAATACGTACATCTAGATAATAAAGAAAAACACAGTTTTGCAACAATAGTAAAATATCGAAAACATTCATGATCCGAATCACTCCGAAAAAGGTTATCCGATATATCGACTTCATACAGTACATTCATTTTCTTGCAGTTATCTTAATAATATATATAAATTATTTATTAGGCTAATTTAGCACACTGTAACTAATTCGCTGCAAAAATCGTTATAATTTGCACCAATTTCAGCATACCTTTGTTATAAAGTCATAAACTCAGGGTCTTGATTTTACAATCATTTATGAGCAACAAACTGTCTTCGTGCACTTACGATCGCTGCGTTTATATCATCGATTGCCAACTAAATGACACGTAATATAGAAAAGTTATCTATTATTTCCGGTGCAGGAAGGCGCGCGAAGGTAAAACTGGCATGATAAAATAGCTCATTTAAAGCAGAACATTAACAATAACTGTTTTAGAGCTTATATTGATCCGACTCGCCTCAATCTACCCTACAAATACCAAACTTTTTTTTTCTCAATATATATATTTATATGTATGATGCGTGATTTGTATATTTGTTATGCCGTTTGAACCATTTCTGCTTTGATTTTTTTGATCAAATTTTATAAACACTAATTTGGTGCGTATCGTCAATAATAATGGCGTTAGTAATTGTCTCGTACCCAACTACTCAGTTATCGGAATAATTTCACACAATGAATATCGCAACGCAACATTTCATAATTTGAATTAATAACATGCATTTGCATGTTATTACATGTTATGCTCATGCATTTACATGAGTTTATGACGAGTTTATTAATGTGACATACAATTTTGATCCTACATAGAATTATTTTGGCAGGAAAAGTTTCATAGAGCAAAATAACGGAAGTAAGATATCAAAACAAGTCAAAACTAGTCATGTTTTCGATAATCATATTTTTCATTTCATTTCATACAGAATTATTATAAAGTTGTTAAAGTTCAAAAGATATACCCGTTAGATATATTCATTAAATGCCGAATCAAATTTTTTTATGATATATTGATTTTTTGTTACGTTATACTATATTATTATATTATATTATAATAATGTATGATATAAAAAATCTATATCTATTTATATATCTATCTAGATATATAAATAAAAATAAATTCATATTTACTAACTTTTATCGAAAAATTGTAATATTTTAACAGAGTAAAGGAATAAAGAGGTAAAGGGGTAAAGAGTAAAGGAATAAAGATAAAAATGTTTATGAAAGAGGACCCAGCCTCAATGAACTTGATCTTTACATATATTATATCATTCTTCAAAGTAACATTCTAAACTTTAGACTTGTCCATTATTTATTAAAAAGTTATTAACAAAAAGCAGTTTTATAAATAGAATATAAACCTATTGAAAACTTATTGAAAAACTATATATATATATATAGATTAAATTAATTTATTTTATAGACATAGTATATCTAAACCGAGGGTGAACAGTGGGCGACGAAATACACATAGAAAGGTACTCACCCTGTTTTGTTTCTTGCGTTCTCTCTCGTTCGCGCATATGTACAAAGCGTACAAGAAAGAACGCAAGAGGCACAAAGCAGAGTGCATTCTTTTCTACGTGCACCTCGATACTCATTCTTCAATAAAAGAAAAATGCTCGATCTAGATATACTACGTCTACAGTTTATTTTGACGAGAGAATGGGACGAAACTCACGCCTATATGTATATTGTTTACCATTCTTAAATGTACACTGTGTCAAAAAATTATGTTCCATTTATAAAACTTCTTTTTATTAATAACTTTTTAATAAACAATGAACGAAATCTCTTGAAGAATGTTACTTCAAAAAATGATATCTATAACATGAAAATCATTGGGATTAGGTCTTCTTTTATAGACATTTTCACCTTTATTCCTTCCTTTATTCTTTTACTCCTTTAAAATATTACAATTTTTCGATAAAAATCAGTATATGTATGAATTCATTTAATAATACAGAGTAGAGCACATAAAATGTTACAGAGACTAATATCTTAAAAGAAATCCATTTTTCGAAAAAATGTTAGATCGATTTTCAAGATTTTAAGGGAATCATAAAATAATAAAATTATTATGAAAATGTTATTTTGAAAGTTACTTGAAGGACAATTTCGATTTTTTTTTAGTGAAATCATATTATTTTTTAACATAAATTAATTCGACCTATTCTACGTACAAAAGTATTAAGATGAAATTATCAAAAAGTAAATACTTTCCGAGATATTTTACATTCTATGTTGAGACATTTCATTGTAAATTAAATGACTTATAATTATTCTGATTGGCTTATAAACATATTTAAAGATACTTTTATCGATAAAAGTTATTTCTTTTTTTTATAACAATCAGTTTTATCCGTCATTCTACGTATAAAAATATCAAACTGAGATGATCGAAATGTAAATATTTTATGAGACTTTTACAGAAAAGTATCGGAATAAAATATAAAATGCCTCGGAAAGTATTTACTTTTTAATGTTTTCACACCCTTAATATTTTTATACTCAGAATGATAAAATAAATCGATTTATGTAAAAAGAAAACTTTGTATTTTCATTAAAACAATTGTAGTTGATCTTTCCAGAGTTTTTCAAAATTATTCTAAGGTCAGGTATAAATACTACTATCTTTTTTCCCTGTAGAAATCGTAGAACTTTTGTCCAAAATACTTTTTCATACTCTTCTTAGTTTTCAAATGTTTTAAACATTTAAAATGGATCAGCCTATATAATAACTCATATTTAAGTATTCTATTTGACAAGAAAACCACATAAATCATCGATTTAACTTCACTTTGTAGGTAGATTGGAAATCAAAAATATTTAATCTGTGTTTTGCCGTTTGCTCGGACACTCAATAGTTTTCAGATTGATAATAAATAATAAAACCTGTATATTTATTACAAATACTCAGCGTAGCTCATCGATGTGTAATATGATTGTAATAGAAAAATAAAAAGCTTGTCGAAAGAAATTGATATATGTTATTCTAATAACAGAGATTTCGAATAAGATTCAGACTCTTCGTTCATAAGAACATAACATCCAATCACTTATAACTTTATCAAATTTTCATTTGTTTCTTATACATTTGCGACGATGGTGTTCTGCGACACCCGATATATCTTGGCACGTTTTTCCGATTGGAAGTAAACCACACCCGCGCACGTCAGGTCGAGGTTACTCGACGTTAATTTACGAATGCACTAGTCAAAACGTCTCGGCGGTGGCTTTTGTGCTCACGCGATATCACCTGGCAGCATTTTTATTTATGTCCTCGGCACAACGATGGCACTCTCTTACGAAGATCTTACAACGGTAAATCATCGTTATCGCATCGCGGAACAGTGTCCGCCCATTCGCTATAAATCGATTAGCACGCCGCGGTGAATACGCGACATGGAAAACTTCACATTTTTCCTCTCACACTCTCGCGCAACGTCTTCTTCTCGTCGCTGAGGATTTCACTGAAAAATCGTTCAAAGTGACGCACGTTATTATATAATCTGCACGTCTGCATATGTAATCTGCAAATTCTACATATATAATCCGTTAACTTACATCATTTTACATGTAATTTTTGTTATACATCGAAAAAATATCTAAAAAATAATAAATATTTGTCCAATAGATGCTCTATAATAACATATTTGAATATAAATTTAATTAGCACAATTTAATATATAAGCAAATCAAATATATATAAATTCAAATAGCAATTTATTCACATTAGCACACTTACTTCTAATGACTTTGATATATGTTATTACGATCATGTCCCTGGGGGGCTGCAGCCCCCTCAGCCCGCCCCCTGGCTACGCCACTGCAGAAAAGATATTAAAAGAAAAGGAAGTGTGCCAAATAGTCATAAATATCCTCGAGGAAAGCTAAAGATGACGAAGTCAAATAAGAAGAAAAAACCTGTATCATTTTGATATTAACATACATTACTAAGCTATGTAAAAATCTGTACTTTGTCGTAAAAATAAGCAAAAAATGAAAATTAAACATAATAAATAAAAGTAAACAACAGAAAGAAACAGAAAAAATTTTGTAGTATTTTTTACACAATTTCTTCAGGTTGTCTCTCTTTGCATTTATGATATATATTATCAGCACGTTTTGCATAACAAATAGAACTTTCCTGTGTCGTTAGGAGAATTAAGAATATCAATTAAATGGTAAAACATTATTAAAAGAAAGTAGAAAAGCGTTTATATCCATATATCCATATATATTTTTCATCTGGCGTTTAGCGTGATATATGACATATGACGTGTTCTATCATAAATGTAACAATTTGCAGAACTTACTATCAGAGTGCACAGTACTTTATAGAAAAAATAAATTCCTATTTCATATTACTTATTTGTGTGCCTGTTCCATAATCCGTCTCTTTACCCTATTTATTCGATTCACTTAATGTTCATAAAAAAAATAATTCAATCTGTCCAGTTATATCGATGATTTTAACT